AGGAAGTCCGGCTGAATCCTATCATCTCCTGCCTCAGCCTTGCCAAAAGACAACAGGCCTGCTGGGGAAAGCCTGGATTCAGAGTGGATTTCTGACAATGCCATTTTTATCACTTTAGCAGTATGTTCAGAAAATTGCGATCATGATAATAACTTACTAACATTTGTAAGGAATTTGAACACTGAAGTTGTAATGTAGTTCCATACACAGGAAAGCATTTGAAGCACATTTAGCAAACAACATCAGAAGTAACGTAGTAAGCTATACAAAAAAAAAAGCAGCACTGACAGTTTCCTTGCACAGCAAACTTCTGTCCTATGCTGTGACAATGACAGTGGGGGAGCAGCTGCAGGGGAAGGAAAAATACGAGATCCTGTATCTACTGAAGGTGGTCGCATCGCATTCAGAAGGAGAAAAAGTGAAGGTCACTCAACTGACTTTAACTGTTACTTCTTAGATTCCCGAGATCTGCTCTGGCATCCTTAATATTCTCTTAATAGAACTTATGTGAAATGTTGACAGGTAACTCGTATTTGACCTGCTGCTAGTTCACAAAGCAAGTGCTTCAACTTCAATCTGTCAAACATTGAGGGAAAGTAAGCAATTTTCACATCTCGAGAACAAGACCACAAAGACAACACTCTACAGAGAGTAATACACTGAGGCACAGACATGCTATTAACCACGAATATTTGATACACGTAACATACATCACTTTGCAAATGGTGCAGTGGCTTAGTTATCTTTTAGTATGTACAAAAGTGGGATTTCAGTTACTGGAAAAAAGGAACAGAACCATCACATTCTCAACCACAAAAAAAAGGTGACAAGCTGACAGAAAAGGTGTCAAGGCACACAGATATTACCTCAAATATTTAGTTTTAAGGCATGGTGTAGTCTTAGAAAATTTTACCTTTGCGTACTATTGTACAATTAAAACTACCCTTAACAAAAGAGTGGAAAATGAAACCCCAGAACACATCTGAACTGCCAGTACTGAACTACATGGCTTTCAGTTATGCGAGCAGATAGCACTTTGCTTTCTCCTCCCTCATTCTTCCACCCATCCCTAGATTTTTATTTTATTTTGTACACAGGCAAAGCTGCTACCCTGGATTTTCAAGAGAGCAAACTTTTAAGCTACTCAGGGGGTCACTCAGCATCCCCCTGGAATCTGCTTTTGAGGGCTTAGGGTCCATGCAGGCTGGTCAGTTTTTCAGAACCATCACCTTTCAGAAGCACAGGAGCAGGCAATCCCATAGCGTGGTAACTCAAGCAAGCAGGGCGGACCAGCTTGCCTGAACAAGGAACTCCTGGTCGTGGAGCTCAGGAGGGAAAGAAACCATACGATCTCTGGAAGCAAGCCCAGGCTTCACAGAAAGATGAGTCATGGCTCCCAGGGAGAAGACAAAAGGCTAAAGCTGACCTAGAGTTAAAACTGTTCAGTGTTGTTTCAGATAACAAGTAGGGTTTCTTCAAGTACATTACCCGACGGAATACATCCGCGGGTCCTGAAAGAACTGGCGGATGCAGTTGCTAAACCTCTCTCCACCATATTTGAAAAGTCGTGGCAGTCTGGCGAAGTTCCCGATGACTGGAAAAGGGGAAACATAACCCCTTTAGACAATCTTTAGAAAGGGGAAAAAAGAGG